TGTGTGTGTGTGTGTGTATGTGTGTGAGTGTGTGTGTGGCTGCCAAGCTAAACACAACAAAAATAATGACTCACAAAAGAACAAGAGCAGGAACAGTACTCGATAATAATGCTATTCTTAACTAAATACACGGATCAAAATCCTTACCACAAGACTGCAAACCGTGGATTCGAGTTCGAACCCCGTTCGGGGCCCGACGTTACGTCTTTGGGAAAGCATTTTAAAAGAAGATTCCTCACCTCGGGCAGGTGGGAATGAGTACCCGGTGATTGACAGTGACAGTGAGAATTGTTTAAATCTTGTTTAAAGTTTTAGTTGAAGTTGTACGGCACTTGCAACATAACTCGGTCATAAAAGTGCCGGAGATTAGAGGTGTTACAAGAGAGTAACAAACACAAAGAAAAAGAAGGAGGAGAGATAAGGGCAATAGAATATGTTTGATAGGAAAGATGGGATGGCGCTCATATGACCTTATGCAGTTGCGAGCGCCGAAAAACCTCTACTGAAACAAACACGAAACATGGAGCAAACCACACGTACCAGATCACCCGCCAACCTCCCACGGCGAAAGATCGTTTCAGGATGCGAGGGTCCAACGACCCAGTGGTCAGTATGATGTTGTCATTTCGGCTCACAATAGCATCCTGCATGTCGGCGACACGGCCTTAAGGGGAGTGGCTGGTCACTGGGGTGTGTCCTTGAGCAAGACACGGTGACCTTGACGATGAATGACCAGAGCCATCCAGGGTATTTCTAAAATTGTATCACAGACACGTTCAAAGCATCACTCATGTTGGCTTCTTCACGAGCGTTTTTAGTTTTAGTAAAGGTTTTACGGCACTCGCAACTGCATAAGGTCATATGAATGCCAGAAGACTAGAGATGTTACAAGGGAGTAACAAACATAAAAAAGAAGAAGGGGAGAAAAGGACGATAGATGTTTGATAGGAAAGAACACACCAGAGCACCCGCCAACCACCCACCTTCACAAGTGTGATAAAAGATAAAAATCCAAATCATCGTCGTGATCATCATCATCATCATTGTTGACAGCTAGGAGGGGAAAAGGCCCCAACATATTGGTGGAGACATCAGAAGTTCAAAATTTAAAATACCTAAAAAGGTCAACCTTTTGCCCTGAAGGCTTCGTCAGGAACATGAAGAAAATCATCATCATCATCATCATCATCATCATCATCATCATCATCATCATCATCAT